AAATTAGTAACTTTAAAAAACAAATATTTGGCATCAAAACTTGCTCGCCTTTCCCCCCCCCCCCCAATCTGAATGAGCCAGGCAGGCCCAGCCCCCTGCACCGCCCCGACCCCCAGCCCAAGTCGAAAGGGCCTTCACCAAACCCAGCGGGTTTGACCAGCTGCCCCATTGCCATGTGCGTGTCGAGCATCCCTGGGGACTGCATGGAGCCAGGTGTCACCTCCCTGCCGCCCCAGGGTGCAAAGGGCTGCCCAGCCCTGCCCTCCCCCCACCCCCAAATTCAGCCATTCCCTGCCTGTACATAAGAATGGCCACACTGGGTCAGACCAACGGTCCATTTAGCCCAGTATCCTGTCTGCCAACAGTGGCCAATGCCAGGTGCCCCAAAGGGAATGAACAGAACAGGGAATCAGCAAGTGATCCATCCCCTGTCGCCCATTCCCAATTTCACAGCAGTCAGAGGTTTTAGGGACACCCAGAGCATGGGGTTGAATTCCTGACCACCTTGCCTAGTAGCCATTGATGGATCTGTCCTCCAGGAACTTAGTCTTTTATTAACCCAGTTTACATTCGGCCTTCACAACATCCTCTGGCAATGAGTTCCACTGGTTGACCGTGTGAAATATTTCCTTATGTTTGTTCTAAACCTGCTGCCTACTAATTTCATTGGGTGATCCCTGGTTCTAGTGTTATGAGAAGGAGTAAATAATACTTCCCTACTCACTTTCTCCACACCAGTCATGATATTATAGACCTCAATCATATCCCCCCCCAGTCGTCTCTTTTCCAAGCTGAAAAGTCCCAGTTTTATTAATCTCTCCTCATACAGAAGAAGTTCCAAACCCCTAATCATTTTTGTTGCCTTTTCTGAACCTTTTCCAATTCCAATATATCTTTTTTGGGATGGGATGACCAGAACTGCACACACTATTCAAGATGTGGGTGTACCATGGATTTATATAGAGGCAATGTGATATTTTCTGTCTTATTATCTCTCCCTTTCTTAATGATTCCCAACATTCTGTTCGGTTTTTTTGACTGTCGCTGCACATTGAGTGGATGTTTTCAGAGAACTATCCACAATCACTCCAAGATCTCTTTTTTAAGTGGTAACAGCTAATATATGTATAGTTGGGATTATGTTTTCCAATGTGCATTATTTTGCATTTATCAACATTGAATTTCATCTGCCATTTTGTTGCCCAGTCACCCAGTTTTGAGAGATCCTTTTGTAGCTCTTCGCAGCCTGCCTGGGACTTAACTATCTTGAGTAGTTTTGTATCATCTGCAAATTTTGCCACCTCACTGTTTACCCCTTTCTCCAGATCATTTATGAATTGTTTGAACAGCAGGGGTCCCAGTACAGATCCCTAGGGGGCCCTGCTATTTATCTCTCTCCACTGTGAAAACTGTCCATTTTTCCTACCCTTTGTTTCCTGCCTTTTAACCAGTTACTGATCCCTGAGAGAACCTTCCTCTTATCCCATGACAGCTTCCTTTGCTTAAGAGCCTTTGGTGAGAGACCTTGTCAGAGGCTTTCTCAAAATCCAAGTACGCTGTATCGACCCTGGTCCACATGGTTGACCCCTCAATGAATTATAATAGCTCGGTGAGGCGTGATTTCCCTTCACAAGAACCATGTTGACTCTTCCCCCAACAAATCACGTTCATCTCTGTGTCTGATCATTCCATTCTTTCCTAAAGCTTCAACCAATTTGCCCGGTACTGAAGTCAGGCTTACCGGCCTGTAATTGCCTGGATCGCCTCTGGAGCCTTTTTAAAAAGTCATTTGTTACTTTAGCTATCCACCAGTCACCTGGTACAGAAGCTGATTTAAATGATAGGTTACAAACCACAGTTCGTAGTTCTGCAATTTCACATTTGAGTTTCTTCAGAACTCTTGGGTGATACCACCAGGTCCTGGTGGCTTGTTGCGGTTTAATTTATCCATTTGTTCCAAAACCTCCTCTAATGACACCTCAGTCTGGGGCAGTGCCTCAGATTTGTCACCTAAAGAATGGCTCAGGTGTGGGATTCTCACCCCCCCCCCCCCATGCTCTGCAGTGGAGACTGATGCAAAGAATTCATTCGGCTTCTCTGCAATGGCCTTGTCTTCCCTGAGTGCTCCGCTAGCACCTCCAGCGGCCAGGGGCCCCACTGATAGCTTGCCAGGCTTCCTGCTTCTGATGGACTTACGAAATTTTCGGCTGTTAGTTTTTGTGTCTTTAGCTCGATGCTCATCACTTGCTTTCTTGGCCTCGTTACACTTACACACGTGCCTCCCCGGAGTCCATGCTCCTTTCTCTTTTCCTCGCCAGGAGGACGGGAGAGCGTAGGGAGAGCTCAGCCTCGTGTGGCCAATACCTGCGCTCCCTGCCAGGCAGCGGCTCACGCCAATGGGCTGCCTCCTGCCCAGGCCCTGCCCCAGCCTGGGCTCAGCTCCGCTGTGTCTCCAGCAGAGAAGCCGGACAGCTGCACCTACGCAGATCTGACCTTCCCCAGCGCGGGGGCCGGCAGGAGAGGTGAGTGGACGAGCCGGGCTGGGGAAGGATCCCAGACTATCCCTGCTCCGTGCCAGGCTGCAGGGGATGGTTCCCCACCCAGCCCCGTGCTCCATAGGACACAGACCCCCAGCCCAGCCTGCTCCTCCTGCGGCCCCAGACCAGGGCGTGCTGCAGCGGTGCTGACCTGGCACCGGCCCCATGCCCTGCACACCCCTCCCCTGGCTGTATCAGCGCTGGCCCCTCCTGACCCAGCCATGCGCTATCTGTGCCCACGGCCCACGCCCAGAGCACGCTCCCTCGCTAGGCCAGGGCTGGCAGACGCTGGCATGGAGCTGAGCGTGGGGCTGGGTGTCGGAGGGGGATCCCGCCTCCCCTGCGGTGCCGGGGCCCAGGCCCTGTGAGCGCGGGGGGCCGGAGGCGCAGCAGCTGGCAAGGCAGTGTTTGCTTCTCCTGCAGCAGTGGGCCCCAGGTGGGGGCTCATTGGGGCAGCATGGGGGGGGGCACCCAGAGGGGGGCAGGGTGTGTGGGGCCTTTCCCTGGCGCCCGTCCTGCTAACCGCGACTCCTCTGCCTCAGGTCCCCAGCCCGCAGCCCAGAGCCCCCCAGCGCCAGCAGAAGGTAAGTGGCGCTTCTGGCCACGGTGGACTGGCCTGGTGGGGACGCCCGGAGACGAGTGTCCCCCGGGGGGAGAGCCCGGCCAGCGGCCTGGGTCACGCTGAGCCACCCCCAGGGCCCCACTGCAGGAGAGTCGCTGGTTTCCTGTGGCCCTGCTGGGCACCGCCCCCTCGCCACGCGTTACCAGCGGGAGCTCTGCCCACCATCCGAATGACCCCATACCCCATGGGGGGAAGGGACACCCACCACCACCAGGGCCGGCTCCAGGCACCAGCCGAACAAGCTGGTGCTTGGGGCGGCAGCTTGGAGGAGGCGGCGTTCTGCCCAATCCTAGGGCGGCTCGGCCGCTTTTTGTTGTTGTTGTTCCGCTCCGGCCGCCCTGTAGGGGGCGGTAGCGCGGAGGACGGACACGCCCTGCAGCAAACCCAGCACGGCAGTCCGCGTCCTTCCCTCCCCGCCGACCGGAGCGGTGTGGAGCCCTCCCGGCAGGGGGCACGGCGGGAGGGGTCGCGTGGCAGCGCCCCACTGAAGCCCTGGCCGCCCCCCTTCTCTCTCTCCCCCCAGATCCCTCCCCCACCCCCCGCTAGCCGGGGCACGTCTGCAGGGCAGGGAGTCCCCCTGCACCCTGGCTCCGGCCGCGCCGCAGGTTTTTGTGGGTTTTTTTTGCTTTGCCGTTCTGGCCGCCCCGTTGTTTTTTTGTTGTTTTTTTTTTTTGCTTGGGGCGGCCAAAAAGCCAGAGCCGGCCCTGACCGCCATGGCCTGACAGACGCCTCCTTCCCCACACCACAGGCCTGGTGGGAGGCAGCCCCAGCGAGTCACCCCACGGGGGCGGGGGAAGCTGTGGTTCAGCGTTGCTGTGTGCTTATTAAACACCAGAGGCGGCTGGGTGAGGGATCCCTGCATAAACAACCCCTGTGCCCCACCCCAGAGGGGCCGCATCTCTGCACCAGGCGAGTGGTCCCTGTATAAACAGCCTGTGTCCCACCCCAGAGGGGCCGCATCTCCGCACTGGGCGAAGGGTCTCTGTATAAACAGCCTCTGGTGTCCCACCCCAGAGGGGCCGCATCTCCGCACCGGGCGAGTGGTCCCTGTATAAACAGCCTGTGTCCCACCCCAGAGGGGCCGCATCTCCGCACCGGGCGAGTGGTCCCTGTATAAACAGCCTGTGTCCCACCCCAGAGGGGCCGCATCTCCGCACTGGGTGAAGGGTCCCTGTATAAACAGCCTCTGGTGTCCCACCCCAGAGGGGCCGCATCTCCGCCGTGGGTGAGGAGTCCTTGTGTAAGCCTCCCTGATGTCCCCACCCCAGAGGCAGGCGCATCTCTGTGCCAGGCAGGTCCCTGTATAAGCAGCCCTGGTGCCCTCACCCCAGCGTTGGGCGAGGGGTCCCAGGACCCTTTTCTAACTCATTCAGGTCTCTCTGCAGAGGTCACCTATTCTGAGCTGACGCCATACAGGGGACCCAGGTGAGCTGTCCATCCCGGCACCCTCCCTGCCCCGTTCCCTCTGGAGTCACCGCACAAGGCCCTGGAGCCCGGAGCAACCCACCTCAGCGAAGTGACACTCAGCAGCCTTTCCTGGGGCTGTGAGCACAGCTACCCTCCCTCCCTGACATGTTCTTCTGTACCAGACACAGGCCAGCTACAGCGCTTGCTTCTGCACCAGCTGTGTTCAGCATCAGGTCCTTTGCTCTGCCAGGGATCGCTGAGGGTAGCTGCAATAAGGTGTGATGCACACCGCCACTTACTGGCTGGACAGTACAACGCAGTTTAGCATCCGCTCACATCTCCCCCTTCCAGTTCTACGTTCCTCTCATTCACCGCAGTTACAGGATCGCGCTGTCTGTGAAGTTCAGGACGGATCAGTCTGTGAAGCGTCTCTGAATCGTCCTGGTTCTCTGATTCCACGACTCGAACACATGGCGGCTCGCTCGGCAGGCTGTCCGTTAGTTACAGTGAGCGGCTGTGGCCGGTTTGGAATCCTTGAGTCGTCTTGTTCTGCATCCGCCATCTGCTGTGCTGACTGTTCTTTCTGCGGAACAAACTGCCGCGGTCGACGGTTCCTGTTGGACTCTGCACTTGGGCCTTGGTCTCACATGAGCTGGGCACTGAATTCTCTGTCTTTACGGCAGCTGGAGTTGCCCATCCATTTTCCCCATCCCGTTTGACATGGACACAGCCACTAGGTGCTAGACCCGGCAGCTCTGTAACTGGATGATGTGTGTTGTAACGTGTTCGTAAGTCCTTCTAGCCTTTTTAGCCGATTTGGCTGCTCTCTGCATGTCTGGTCACTTCAGAGATAGATTCTCCTCCCCCCTCCCTCCCCGCCGAAAAAAGCTGGAACGTTGTCTTCCTATCAGGAGTTGTGCTGTTGGTGTTGATCTGTAACTCAGAGGAGCAAGGAGTGCATTTTCCTGCTGCAGGGTTTTCTTGGCTGTCTGTCCAGCTCTCTCAGCCTCTCCAGTCGCTTGTGGGGCTGCTAGTAACAGGATCAAAATCCTATTTTGTTCCAAATGACTTAGATCCCGCTGCAGTGCACTGTGGCCTGTTGTCCGTCACAAGTTGTTCTGGAATATCGAATGAGCACAAGTGCACTTCTATGTCAGTAACCGTGACATGGGATGTCTTTCAAGTACATTATTTCCATATACCTGGAAAAACAGGCCACTATGACCAGATAGGGATGTCCTCTGAACTTGCATAATCCGCAGCTAGTCTCTTCCAAGGTCTCTCGGGTAGGGATGTTTGTACACGCTGTGGTTCATTGTCTCTTAGCGGTGATTTGTACTGGGTCTCCTTTCAAAAATCCAATCTCATCAAATCCTCCATCAAGTTCTTCCACCTTTCTCACTAGGCCCATCATGGCTGCCGTGTTGCGGCTGAGAAGGTTGTTGGGCTTTGATCCTTTGACCACATATTTCATGCTTTTATTACACCGTGTGCCTGTGGCTGGACATGCATCACCTCTTGGGATGGGATGTTTTCCACCCCTTGTGCACGTAGGCTGGAATTGTTCCTCTTAGCAGGGAGTTCTCGCTCCTGGCCTCGGGGGGTTTATAATAACTTTTAACACTGAAGTGCTTTTTATAGCTTTTAAGCTAGTTTCCGTTTTTTCAAGTCGCTCCTACCTTTTGTTCTGTTGTTGGACTAGTTCAGACGGCTTTGCTGTCTTGTTTTGTGTGTAGGGTTAAATCCCTGTTCAGCTGTAGCTGCTGTGAACGGTTTTTATCTGTTAACCCAGGAACCAGCCTGTCTCCGATATTGTCATGTTTTGCTTTTCCCAAATCAGTTTTCAGCTAATGCTTGCAGAGCTCTTATAAAACTGTCAACATTTCCCCCTGATCCTTGAAGCCTGTGGTGAAAACACTGTGACGGGTTGGGTCACAGAAACCCCCTTGGGAGCTGCCACCCGATGTGCAAAGACTACCCCTGCTCCTGTTTTCCCTGCCAGCTCAGGACTCCAGCCCCGTCTTGCTGAGCCAGACACTCCCGTCTGCTCCAACACAGACCCAGGGTCTGAATCACTTGTCCCAAAGCTGCAAGTTTACCTGAAAACAGCTCACAGAAGTGTGCTTGTCTTTAGCACTCAGATGCCCAACCCCCAATGTGGTCTAAACCCGAATAAATCCGTTTTACCCTGTATAAAGCTTATGCAGGGTAAACTCATAAATTGTTCGCCCTCTAGAACACTGATAGAGAGATATGCACAGTTGTTTGCTCCCCCAGGTATTAACACATACTCTGAGTTAATTAATAAGTAAAAAGTGATTTTATTAAATACAGAAAGTAGGATTTAAGTGGTTCCAAGTAGTAACAGACAGAACAAAGTAAGTCACCAAGCAAAATAAAATAAATTGCACAAATCTATGTCTAATCAAACTAAATACAGATAATTTCCTCACCAGTTCCAGAATGCTCCCTTTTACAGGCTAATCTCCTTTTAGCCTGGGTCCAGCAATCACTCACACCCCATGTAGTTACTGTCGTTTGTTCCAGTTCCCTTCAAGTATCCTGGGGGGGTGGAGAGGCTCCTTCCTTAGCCAGCTGAAGACCCCATGGAGGGGTCTCCCACGGGTTTAAATAGACTCTCTCTTGTGGGTGGAGACCCCCCCCTCCTCCCTCCTATGCAAAGTCCAGCTCCAAGATGGAGTTCTGGAGTCACCTGCGCAAGTCACATGCCCCTGCATGACTCAGTCTTTACAGGCCGAAGCCATTGTCCACATGGTATCTTGTATGTCTCCAGGAAGACTTCTCATGTGGATTGGAGCATTCCAAGATGCATTGTTCTCCAAGTGTTTCCTGATCGGGTACTTAACCTGGCGAATTCCTCCCTAAAGAAGCTGACCAAATGCCTCCCAAAGCTTACTTAGAAACCAAGCCAGCATACAGCCCATATTCTTAACCTCGAGTAGAAAATGATATATATGTACAAATAGGATGAATAGATATCGTAGACCAGAACCTTGACGGAGATATGTTACATGGCACAGGCAGCACAAAACATATTCCAGTTATGTCATACATACATTTATAAGCACCCCCTCCCCATAAAGCCTTATGGGGTACACTGTCACACCCTCCCCCTGAACTTATTGCCAGAGACTTGGACACTGTCCATGGCGGAGGCAGTACCTGTAAAATTTCTGTTTGTTTCTGGTCACACTTCCTTTCAGTACCTTGAAACCATATGATGTTACTCCTAGGGGTTCCTAGCCCATTTTGGGGTTCCTGGTCCCCAGATGCTTGCAAACAGGTTGGGATGTAGTATTGCTAACGGAATGCAGGCAGCAATACCCGTTAAAGTGGAGGTGTCTTGGCATTTAGCCACCAATGCCATGAGGCGGTGTGCCTCAGTTTCCCCTTCTACACAGCAGCATGGGCCTGTTATGCTTTTGCTGCTTTTTACAGGTATGGGCTGTAAAGTAACATGCTGGTGGGGCTGTCCTGTCACCATCCCCAGCATGTCTAACAGCTTATTCCACAAATTAGGTGTGTCCCACATCTTTAAAGGGTTTACCACTAGTGTGAATTCTTTTGTTTTATCCCATAGGTGAACTAGCAAAAGACACAAGGTTAACAGCAAATCTACAGTGGACAGGCTTCGTTCACTCAATTTGACTTTTTTAGCATCCATTGCATTTTCCCAGTTCTCTGTGCCCTCTGGTAGACCCTCAGATGCAGATTCCTCTGCCTCTTTGGGGAAGACTTCTAGTTCGGTCAGGGGCTTGGGTCTTTGGCCAGGAAAGGGTGTACTACAACCATGCTTGTCCTCGGCCCCTCCCTCTGGAGTTTCTCTGGGCTGGGCCCCCCTCCCTTGTGAAGTTCCTCCCATGCAGAGATTCTCCCCCCCCCCCCTTGGAGAGAGAGTTTTATCTCTTGCAAGTGTAGCAAGAACAGCATCTTTCCCCAGGGTGCTCTGGTCCCCTTTGGGCACCCCACTTTCTGTTCTCAACATGTCAGCTGGATGGACCCCCTCATCCCGGAGCCCCGACCCCCAGGTTTCCCTTAAAACCTGATCCCCAGGAGAGGGGGCTGGCATTTCGAATGCAGACTTTTCACCCTCCTCCTGGGAAAGCCCCTCCCTACAAAAGGTGGGCGGACTCTCTCGACCCCCCCCCCCCCC